CACAAAAATGACATCTTACTCAGGCTCTGCGTCCTTGGTTCTGCGAAGAGAAAAAATGAGGAGCAAAGGTACTTGTTTATTAGAAATTAGTTGAAATTTTGTTTTTATTTGTTCCCAAGTCCATCAATCTTTGTTATTTTTGAAAAACCTTGAAGATTCTTGATTAAATCTTAAAGAAACTCTTGCTGTATTGGCAAGTTCTTGCCAAAAATTTTTGAAAATATCAAAGATTCTTCAAGAAAGCTCAAAGAATCTTGAAAAAAAAAAACAATGATAGCAAAGATTTTTTTAAAAAGATTTTTGACGATTTGCAAGGCAGATGAGCGATTTTAAATTCAGGATTTTCCAAGATTTTAACAAAAATGTTTGCCTTCCTTTTGAAGAATAATCTAAAATCTCCTGAAAACAAATTTAAAAACTATCGATAATGAAGCTCAATTGTAAAACAATTAAAAATTAGACTAATTATGATTATAAAAAAATTCAAATGAAAATAAAAAATGAAAGCAAAGAAAACAAAACCAGTGACCAAAAACTGAAATTTACCTTGTTTTGGTTTTATAATGTAGTTTTGGAGAAGCTTGACTAAGTGTTTGCTCATTATTTTGATATGATTTTTTTTCTCGAAAAAATAAGGAACTTCTCTTTGATATCTTTAAAGATGTTGAAGAATCTTTAAAGATCTTAAAGAATCTGAAGATCGTTTCAAGATTGCACGAAAAATCAAACTCCTCTGTTGAGCTGCCGGAGCGATCGTGTATGATTTTGAGGTCGTATTCATGTAGTTTGGACGCTTAGGTACCTTGGAAAACGCTGAACTTAGTTTTAACTTTCCTTGCTATCTTTGATAAATCATCAAGAATCTTCAAGATCTTGGCAAGATTTTCAACATGACTGGACCTGGGTTGTACTAATAACGTTCATTGGTAAACTTTTTTCAACCTCCACAAAAATAAATGATTTTTAATGAAACATTATCATTTAGAACTCTTATTGTTTATCAGCAATCGACATATTTTAATCATATTGTGTTGAATGAAGTTCAGTCCATTTTTTAGAGTTTTAGTTCAGATAAGCAGATAAAATCAATAAATCAAAACAATTACTTGGGATAATAGAAGTATTTTTGCTCTGAGTGCAATTTCAAAATCAAATGAGGTTTGAGTAACCTCCGCTTCATTTTTTCTGCTATTGTTCGTTGGATCATAGTTGATTTAGCAGTAATGGTATTTTGTATGGAATTGTAGTAACCCCTCTGATATTATAAATGATAGTCCCTGCGCAAAAACCCGAGCCAGTTATGTGAAATACTTGACGGCCATCTTCGAAAACTTTGGAGAAAACTGTCAAATGAGAGCCATGAAGGTTGAAGTCGATTCCGCTCGAAATGAAAAATGGGCTCGTCGAAAGATCAATTCTAGATTCAGCTGTACCATACGCGCAGTTTGAGCCGTATCCGAAATACAGCTCTAGGCTCTGAGAATAGTAGTCGTTACGGTTGATCTCGCTGAAGGTCAAGTCATCACAAATGATCAAGGTCAAGCATGACGTAACTTGAATTTGAACTCTTGTCCAGGTTCTAATAACCTCATCAATTGGTAGAAAGCTATAGGTAATTGATCCTCCCCAAACTGATTTTCCTCCGACATCAACGTATGTTTTCACGGGTGTATCAGTCATCACACAAAACACCTCAACGATAACTCCTCGTATTTTGATGTCAAAATAGCCGTCTTCGGCAGACTGGTTTTTCCACTTGATATCCTCGCAGTCAAAAGTTTCACCTGTCTCCACTCGTTTTATAATGTAGAACTCAGAATACCCAAAGTCTGGATGTCTTTCGCAAGCACTACTTATAACCGATTGTGCGTTGTAGCCGATACTCATAGCGTCGTACAATCTGCATGATTTACTTTCGTCGCAGTATTCGAACGCAAAACAAGAGCTTCTCCTGAAACAGTTAGCCCAACAGTCTGCTAGAACTATTTCAAATGCTGATTCGAAAGCTTCTGCTGTTTTTATCAGACAGTCACATTTCTCGTAATGTTTTTGAGCCAATTTTGAGAGGTTATCCTGGCATGAAACAAACTTTTGGTGGCAAACAATAGCTATCATAATAACTGTGCAAATCCTTGTGTCCATCGTATATAATGATCCAAAGCTTCGTGGTGGTTTGTTTTAGATACCAACGAAAATCTGAAGCTCATTTATTTAAAAAATTGATGAAAGCAGATGTTTTTTATGATTTCTTCTTGGTCTACGAACCAAATTTTGAGAAATTTTTGTTCGCTCATTCTTTTATTTCTTTGGTCAAAGTGAATTTTATTTCCTTTTTAATTTTAGATCAAGAACAAAACGAATACTTTATTCGTATATCATGATTTACTTCGTATTTATTGATGACGTACTGTCGTTAGTTTTTTTTGGTTCCGACTTTTAAAAATAGGAATGAAATACATCGTCTAGTAAAATATGGATAACTTTTTTTCTTCAGACAAAATTGAGCAATTGTAATGATAGCTTCGAGCTAATTTTGTTGACCCTAATTAAGATATAAGAGCCATATCATTTCCTAGGTGTTTTTACGGGCTATTTTTTTGATAGTTTCCAGGAATTTGACAATTGTTTGAGCGTTTTTGAGAGCTGATCGATGACAAGGAAAATTTAGTGCTGAGTTAATTCAGCGATGTGAATTGTCCCGCGCTCAAAATTGTGTCAAAATGATTTGAGGCAAGCTAATTGAATATATATTGGTTCCAACTTCGACCCAAGTTATAACACTAATTTTTCGGTAATGACTTTTTGGGGAAGTTGAAAGTAAAATTGAGCTTGAAGTTTACTTAAGTTCTTAAGTTCAAAAAATCCCGGTTAATCAAATTGTTAAGCAAAAACTATCAGAAACTAATTAAAGAGCAGTAGAGAGACAATCATGGCGCTACCCCATTACAAGGAGTCTTCATTTTCCTTGTTTGCAGAGTTATATTCGCTTTTGTTTGAGGTTTTTCACAATTTCAAACGGGTGCTTTGTTTGTGGGCAAACTCCTGTAATAAATGATTGAATTTATAATTAGGAGCAAAAAAGATATAGTACCCTATTTTATTTTTTTTTGAATTTTTAAATTTATAAGAAGTGTCCTTTTGTGGATATTTGGAGTACCCTCGATATGTCAAATGTCAATCGAGACACAACAACCATCTTCAAAATTCTAAAAAGAGCAATCCAGATTAGCTGACAACACGTATCGCTAAGAATTTACTCTTCCGATTAATTTTGTCTTTACGGCAATGAGAGAAAACTGCAAACCCACATAAATCAAAAACACGATAGCGTCTCATCGAGAAACGGAAATATGGTTTAAAATTTCTTAATGATCTGTGATTTTTAGCGAAGAAAAGTTGGATTGGAATTAAATGGACTAAAGTTGGCTGGTTTTATAATCAAAATGAGTCTCAAACCTTCAAAAAAGTTCAGCAAAAATTTAGTCAATCAGTTATACCTTCTCACCATGTGAAGTGTGATTACTATTTGATCTTATGATGATGCAGAATTGGCAGTGATAACGTCATATCTATGTTAGATTTGCTGTTGTAAAAGACATATGCCTTAACAATATGTGCTATAATGATTGTCGTTGGAAAAGTGATGAAATTGAGCAGCATTAAAAGGTGATAACTTTATGTTTATCATATTCAGTTCCAGCAGCTGCACTCTTTTTTGTCTTCTGCCCCATCAGGTGACAAACAAAACTTTTTTGCCGTTCTTCGATAACTTTTTCACATCTACCAATTTTGAAAAAGAAGTTCATTTGCTGTTTTGCTCAATCGCCCTGGAATTCAATCTAAACCGCCAAGATTCTTCGATTGAGCACTGAAATAACTTTTTGCAGCTCATTTTGTATAGCCCTGGCCCTTTTAATAGGTTAATGATTGTAATCTTTTTGAAAGTTTTCTTTCTGAAAAAGCATGTCGATCAAAACAGCGAAATTTTTACTTCTTTCAAGCATGTTTTGATGAAAAATAAATTAAATTATTAAGGCTGTTTTCATTTAGTACTAGATTGTTTGATTAAGTTTTCATATAGATATATAAATATATAGACAAAATATGGACCTAAGGGGTTGTTATCTGAGCATTGCGCTGCTCGTTCTGTAAGATCATACAAACTCCGATGGAAATATCTCATGATTGGTATGGCTACCAAATGAGATCTGGCAAGACACTATCAATTGCTCAATAAATGTCTTTAGCTGAAAATGTTTGCTGCGCTCACACACAGCTGAAACCTTTTAGACATAAACACGAAGGAAATAGAAGGAAAACTCTTATCATACAATTTTCATACGAAATTTAAAAACTGTTTTAAAGATTTTTAATACGCATTTTATTTCTATTTGGCTCATTTGAAGCTTTCTGGTCATGTAAAAAATAATAAAAAGACTTTAGATGAAAAAACGCTTATCATACAATTTTCATGCATAAATCTGTATGAAAAGCCACTTTGTTATAATTTTTTTTCAAAAATCTCTATAAAAGCATGTATCGCTAATTACAAATGAGGTTAATGAAAGGTTTTCAATGACAAAGACCGATTTAACTATCAAAAACATGATTTTAGTTTTATTCGAAAAAATGCATATATAATAACTTTCATATATGAAATTGTACGATAAGCATCTTTTCAGAGAAAAATTAGAACTTTTGAAAATCATTTGAAACTTTTTTTGGGTTTAACGGGGCTTTTCCATGATTTAGATCAACTTACTGTCAAAAAGATAATTTCACTTAAGTAACGTTAAATTGTATGCTGATTGAAATCAACTAATGAAAACAAATCAATTTTGCAGCGTATTAATTTTTACGCAAATGCGCCAGATCTAATAACCGGCTGCAACATTTTTTTTGCAAGAAAAACATGAAAAAGTGTGTAGTAAATGTGAACATAATGGCGACAGAGATAATAAGCTCGATTAAGTGGTTTACAAGCTAAAAATAGATATACAACAAACTCAAACGAACCATTCATTTTTTTCTCGAGCCAGCTTAACAAATATGAAATTGAAAAACAAACTAAACAGAATGTGTGCGATAAAATGAAATCTAATTTCTAACAAAGTAGAATTTTTTTCAGATTATGTTTGGCCATTATCTATATCAATAAGCACCAAGAGAATGTAAGTGAATTGTTTGATCAAACTATTCAGAATAGTTAATTTTCAAATTATAGAATTTTTAAATTGATTTTGATCCCCTTTTAAACAATTAAACACTATCTTTATTCTTCTATTTGAATCTGAAAAGTTTCAACTTGATCTGTTGTGTTCAGGATTAAACAGCAGAAGAAATAAAACCTTAACAGAAGTTAGATGTTCTGTGATGTAATTTTTTTGACACTGATTTTTGTTAGATAATTCAAAAAAGACTTTTTCAGACCTGAAGAAGAGTAATGACAATGCAAGAAGGCGATTCACTTCACTACTCCAGCTTGTCAAACGAATCAAACTCTAACTCCCATGATCATGAAAATGCTCCACCAGCACAAGGTATTCAGGGTTGTTTTCAATATTTAGATTCAATTTTAATGGCTAGATTTAGCGCCGCAATGTTGTTTTGGAGGGTAAACATTAATTTAAAGATAGAAACGGAAAAATCACAATTTATGCAAAAATACAACGAAAATGGCTAATTGAGGCTTATTTTCCTAAAAAAGTGAATCAAAAAGTGAAATAATGGATTGCGATATTATAAAAAGAAGCAGGTCTGTTAGCTTTTCATGATCTGTAGAAAAAATTCAGTTCATCATCAGTTTGAATACCGAATTATTTATTTGAAAAATGGATAGATATAGAAAATTTTTCTCAATACAGAGACGAATTGTTCGAAATGAACGAAGATGATAAGGCAATATTTAATATTTAAGGTTCCATGAAAACTAATTGGTTAAATTGCATTTTCATGGTCTGTATCCATGAAATTCTAAAAAAATGAATATATGGAATTAAAAATCGATTACAAGTTAGCCCATTACAATCGATTATATCAAATTTCCCAAAATCTTCAAAGTAAATATTCAAATTTTGAACGTAGCAATCGCCAAACTGTTTTTTTTAGGATTTGAGGACGTATACTCCCTCTACACAAAAAGAAGCAGGTTTTAAAATAATTTTCTATTCTTGACCTTGATCGGAAAGTTTTGCGCTACTTGCTTAACAGTAGGCCCTTTTTGTATCAGATTGATTCATTTCAAGTTAATATCATTTGTTTTAGTACACATGGAAACTGCCCCCGAGGTGAGTGACGTTCGTCTGCTCGAACCAAGCCCTGGCAAGAACAGTCTCCCGTCGTGTCCTCCTTCAGTTTTGGTAACAAGATATAAAACTTATCATAAAATATTTCTATTAGGCAGCTAGAGATGTTGATAAGTTTCAGTTATTGCTGAAGGCAGCCAAGAAATATTTGATCAATTAAGCTCAAAGCACTAGATGCTGCAGAGTTTTTGACAACTTTGAAGTAGAAATGTATATCTCTTGTAAGTAGTATTGAGAATCTGCATTTTTACACGCTGTGATGCGCTACATTAGGATGCGCTAGCCAATTCTAAATAGTTAAAGCTAAGACTCTCTGAACGGTATTTAGTAGTAGCCATTGTTGTTCGACACGGGACGAGGTTTGCAATTGATGCTTCGACCGACTCGACCCATGTTCGACACGTTTCGACCAACCCGACCCCAGGTGTCTATAATTCTATTAAGTTTGACCGAACAAACACATTTTGGTTGAGTTCGACGGAGAAGTTTTCCCGGCAGAGAAGAATTTGAATCGAGGAAAATGATTTCGACTGCGTTGGACACAAAATTTTTCCGAGAAGCAGTTTGGGGCTGAATGAAACCACTATTCAAAAATGTGCTGAATGAACCCAATGTTCCCGAGCTCACCAAAAATGCTAGTCATACAATTTTCAGATATGGAAAAGAGCTAATCCCCCATTTTTCATGCAATTCCATAAGTACAGAAAAATGTAATATGAATTGTCTATGATTAGTGATTTTTGAACATGGAAATTGTATGACTCGCTTTTTTCCATAAACCAAAAAATTTGTAGGATGTTGTCGTAAGCGAACACATGTGACAGAAACCATGGTTTGCTCAAGACTAGAGCCACCAAAAATTTGACCTTCTTGCATACTTTGTGCATTGGAAACTACCTGAATTGTCTAAGAGTTGTCCAACACAAATCATATACTGAAAGAATCAAACTTTTAGATTTTGGCAAATCTTTTTTTTTACAGAACATTGACGTTAAAATTTGAGTTTTGATTAATCAGACAATGATCAAGGCATACATAAACATACTATACAGAAAAAATAAAAACATTGAGCCTTTTTGAAAGAAGTTATACGGAGAAATGGAAATCTATTTTTTTAATCAAAATTATGCAAACAAAAAAAATAAACTTTAAATGCAAAAGTATTTTTTGGAAATGGTTTATTTGAGTAAAAAATTTGTTTTCCGGTAAAAAAAAACAAACAAAACTTTTAGGGCAATTGCAAAATTACTTGAACAAACTTTTGTTGTCGCCATCAAAAAATTGCTAGTCATACAATTTCCATATATGGAATTCGTATGATGAGCATTTTTTTGACAGAATGTTCTCTATTTTGTTTAGTAAAATACACTGAAAAAAAAACTTTGTATGGGTAGTATTATTTAAAAGACTTATTTTAATCAATTGCATGATTAGCGTTTTTGGTCTATAAAAGTCAACCCGGGCTTAATAAAAAAAGCTGAAAAATCAAAATTTTACATAATGAGCGACTCATATTCGAAGTTGTGCGACCGCTTTGTGATTTTGTGCAACCCATATTGTGGCTTTGCGCGACCCATGTTGCGACTTTGACTGACCCATGTTGCAATTTTGCGCGACCCATATTGCTACTTCACGCGACCCATTTTCAACCAAACTCTGAATTTGCGCAACCTATGTCGCAATTTTGTGCGATTCAAATTTCTTGCAGGAGTTTGGTGTTTTGGTCGCAGAAAGTCCATTTCGGCACTCATTCGGTCGCAATATAAGTCGCAGATATCGGCCCGTGAACCTCTTAGTTGAAAGTTTGTCTCAATGTGCTTATAATCAACTCTGTTTAATATTTTAAGCAATTGCATGACTAGCGTTTTTGGTCTATTAAAGTCAACCAGGGCTTTAAAAAAAGCTGAAAGTTCAAAAATTTATATCTTGATCGCAAAAAGAACAAACGCGACTCATTGCAAAACCTTTAATTACGAGGCCACACAGTGCATTTTGTGAATTGTAAGTGGACTCCGAAACAAAGACGCTCTCTTAGATCTTCCTTTCCTTTTTCATTTTCTTTTGCTGTATTGACAAAATTTTAACATGTGTAAAGACTTGTCTCTGAATTCCAGAGACCTTTACACATCAAACTGTGCACCTAGCCAATGCACAGTTTGACATCATTATTGTGATAAAAAAGAAGACTAGTGTATTAAAACAAAACTCAGATTGTTCCCAAAATCCTTTAACGTTGATGAAAAAGCTTTCCTTCATAAAAATTGATAGAAATTTGAAAAAAAGCCTCATACGCTGTTTAATTGTATTATGCACATAGCAGTGCATTAACAAAAGCATTAACAAAAGCAAAATGCTTGCCGCAATCAAATTGGAATTTTTAATTTGACCGCGTTTATTAAATCTTGACTTGACCGGAATTTTTCCCACCCCATGAGGACACAAAAAACAAATGAGGTTGATCAATTTTGATTATTATGCATCCTTTTATTTCAGACCATAGGACTGAACTTTTCTCAAAATAAATATTTACAAAAATAATTTTTTCTGACATAAAAAGTCACCATGACCCAGGTTGAGCTGCTCGACTTATGTTTAGACTTTGAGAGTCAAGCAAGTGCAGTTTTGCGGTCGGTAAGCAATTTTTAAGTCAAGTGCATAGTCGAAACGTACCCGATTTGGGTAGTAAAAGTCGAATTATACCCAATTATGATCGATAATTTTGACAAATAGGTCGAGAAAGTCAAAACATAGGTCGAGCACTGCTGAAACATACATGGCAGTCTAAGCAAAACTGTGGGGTTTCAACAATGGTCAATTTGGTAAAGTTAATGCTCAATTTTTTTCGTGCTATGAATGCGTTAACGGCAATTTTTTCAGGTCCTGGAATTGTTTAAAGTTGAATTGAGGCATATTTGGTCTTATCAATGCGTTAGTGGCTGCTGAAAAGATCATTCTATAGCAGACATAAGCTTGTGGGGAAAGTTTTAAAAAACAACTGAAAAAAGTAAAAGGCTGTCGGAATTAATGTTCATTGATGTTGAAAGGCAGTCGTCAGAACACTCAGAGCTTCGCTCTGAAATGAGCAATCATGTTGAGTATCAGAAATTAAGGATTTGAAAGTAGTTCATATATTAATTTGATTTGAGATTAACCGGACAGAGTATTTTAACCAGTTTAATTATATTGATACAGGGCGGATTAAGGGGGGGTGGGATGGGGGTGGGCGGAAGCCATCTTCTTTCAGGGTTTCGACCCCCTGCCGACCCAAAGGGTCCCCCTTTGGTACTTTTTAAGAAGACCTGTTTTGGCGGCCGACCATCAAAATTTTTGTAAGGGCGCCGTCGGCGCCAATATATACTAACTTTGAGGGGGGAGCGCGTGCCAAAAAAGCGCAAATTTTTGGTCGATATTTTTCAAAAATTGCCTAAAAATGTCTTTAGGGACTAAACCGCGCTTAGGAGAGCTCGAAAAAAAACAATTCGGTCGACCTAAAAAAAAGGTCGAGAAAATTTTCGAAAATTTTGTAAAAATCCCCCCGTCGAAAAAATTCTAGATATGCCCCTGTATTGATATATTGATTGAGTTTTTGATTAAGTATATTGATCATGCACGGATTTGGGGGGGGGGGGAGGTTGGACTTCTTTCCTCAGTGTTTCGACCCCATCACAAACCACAGGGTCCCCTCTTTTGGTGTTGTTATGGCATCAATTTTGTGCCGACCAACCCTAAAAATTTTTAGAAGCGCCTTAGGGACCAATATATACTAACTTTGAAGGCTAGTGCGCGCCGAAAAAACCCAAGTTTTCGATCACCCAAAGTTGGTTTTTTTGATCTGCTCTTTCAAAAATTTGTCTGCGGCGCAAAATTTTGGTCAAAAAAGGGATTTTTGATGTACTGAGAGCGCTGGTCGACCTATGAAATAGTCGACAATTTTTTTTCGAAAATCCGCCCCCCCCCCCCACACACACACCCTAGAGAGAGTCCTTGATCCGCCACTGATATTGATTGAGTTTCGATTGACATATTGATTGAGTTGAGATGAACCGGAGAAATTATTACGACTAAAAAATGTAACTGATTCCTTTTATTTTACTTATTTTCAGTGGGATCATTTTTTATAGCTAAAATATCTTTTCATAGCCCCGAATCACAGTTTTTTGCAATCAAACTATTCGTATAGTTCTATCATGGGAAAGTTAGCTTGTACCCTTTTTGGTTCTATTTTAGTTACCAAATGAGAAAATGGGGCATATGACTGAATCAGCGCCTCCTCAACTTCCGAAAGAGCCATTGGTCATTCACACACCCAATCATTCAGGGGTTCAACGAATATCAATTGTTTTCGAAAGTCCTTCGCCCGAAGAAGCAGAAAAAACTACTAAACAAATAACCGAGCTCCAGTCTTCTAATATTGAGCATTTGAATCGGCAAACAAAAGAACTCCAGACATCCGTTGAAAAAATAGGCAACAAAGTGCGAATTCTTGAGAACTCGAAATGTTTCCACGATTTCAGCCAAGATGAAGAGTTTTCTCGGCGAAGTGAAGTCGACACCGATGAAGAGGTCAAAAGAAAAATCTCATCAACTAACGGTGACTGGAAATGGCTCGAGAAGTCTGAATGCAGGCAAGCAGATGAATCTACAAACACTTCGCTCGTAGTCGAAACAGACGACAAATCACTGTCTTCTGATCTAACGCAGGTGCAAGATGCTTTAAAGAAAGCCGAGTCAAGAATTGTGGATTTGGAAACGGAGAACAAAAACATGAAAACTGCAATGCAAAATATTCTTGAAAAATTTAATGAGTTCAAAGCTCATATTCAAGAATTATCTCAGTCAAAAGGGTCAGATCCAGCTGCAACGTGTGAACAAACTCAAACCAAAAAGCAACCAAGGAAAGATTTGTCGCTAAATTTGACGCAAGAACCCAAGAAAATGAACAAAGAAATGAAGTCACCGATGTCCAACTTTATCTAATTACATATGTCTCTTTTTGCTCGGCTCTCTGAATCTCTTTTAAAAAAACTAAAACTTCATAAAGTTGCCATTCGGATTGGTGTAATGCGTGCAACAAACAAAGTTACAAATTTTCGATTGAAAATGTCCGTTGCGCGATTAAAATTAACTTAAAACAAAAATACAGTAAACCAAAAAGCATTGAATTAAGCGCATTTACTCAACCTCATTCTCAAAACTACAGCAGTTTTTGAAATCTGAGATAAACTGATATTATTGTTAGATTTTAACACAAAACTTCAACTTAACCCTCTTGAAAAGGTAAATGTATGTATGATATGTACATGAGACCTTTGTGCTGATGACCTTGACCTTCAGACATTTGTTTTTAACCAGTGAAAATCTATATCATTTGTTCTGAATAAAGGCAACAGAAAGTATATTGCATAATTGTAACTGTTAGTTTACTCACAATTTGAGTTAGTTATGTTTCCATGAGTCTTAGTCTAAAATCAACCCAATTTGAGAAAAACACTTTTGAATTCAAGTTTTGTTCGAATTGTTTTTCGGATAGTTAAAATCATCACTTTTCATGATAAAAAATTTAGCAGGAGGTATAGTTAATTCCAAGTTATTGGCAATATTGGTGAAAAATACAACATTTCAAGTGACTAAACGGTCTTAACCGATGGAAATTTGTGAGAAACTAAAATGAGACATCAAAAGGAGCAGTCTTATGTTAACTACTTCATTCAGATTCGTTGAGCGAAAAGATTATTGCTAGCTTGGCATTAATTATACCATTACTCCGAAAATCAGTTAATGTTGGAAGTATTTGCAACAAAAATTTTCGTCTTTTTGAAAATAAAAATTTTCAAAATTTTGAGAACCCGAGGTAGACAAGATTTCCCTCACAAAAACTTCCGGGAATCTAATTTATGATTTAAAATATAAAAAATTTTGACCAATTTAAGCATGAGAATAGATTTGTGGGAGAATTTAATCGATTAATTTCAATTTTTAAAAAACCATTACAAACCGTTATGATTGATATAATTGTAAAACTTTCAGTTTCAAAACTGTTTTTGTTCGTGAAAATACTTGAAAAACGATTAATTTGTGTAAATGTTAAAACGTGACTTTTTGTTTGCAGCGTTCTGCAAAACTAGAACCCCAACGACCAAAGAACGTCATATTCATCTTCGTGCCTTTTTGTAGCCACTCACTCTAGAAGCCGCACTCATCCCTAGAGGTGCGAGCCAGCGGTCTCAGCCGTCACCGGAGTTCAAAGCAACACTCCGCCGCCACGAAATACACCTCGGTGGGGAGGGTTCTCATGCTTGAAGGACCGAATGCTTGAAAAATTTCAGCCAATCAAAATCGCTAAACATCTCTATTGGCTGAATGCCTTTCTCACAAAATCGAAGTCAATATTAACAGAAAATGTTTTAAATCAGTAGAAAATAATCAAATATATTACAAATTGCGGGTTACTACCGCAAAACTATTCAGATAAACATCAAGTTTAATGAGTTCAAAATCATAAGAATTTTTCATCTGCTTATTATCTAATCGGTCAGTATTAACACTATTGGCCTGGATTTATTTTCGTACTTCGAGATTTTCACGATTTACTTTGAGATTTTGAATACTCAATTCTGATTGGCTGAAAGTAAGCTAAAATAAATTTCAAGCATTCGGTCCTTCAAGCATGAGGGACGCCACCCACCTCGGTTGAATCATTTAGTGAGTAATACAGTAAGGAGCCAGCTACTGAATTGCGTCAGCTGATATTCTAATGCGTTGGCCATCGTTCTAATTAGTTAACTACGTGTAACTACAATCACAACTATCAGCCACTAATTTCAAACACTTGATTTTTGTTCATGAAATTTAAGCGCTAGTTAAAGACGTACACAACTAATAAATATCTTTCAGAGTCCCTTTTCAAAAGATGAGAAAACCAGGATGCTCTCAGCCGGCTGAGCAGCCGCCACCAGCAATTTTTGCTTCGAGCCGCCGAGCATGCTCGGTTGAGCCGGCACGCGTCTCTAGTCCTCACCCTTCAAAACACCTACTTCTCCATCCCCCTATTCCCATTAACAGTACCCACAATTTTACCCGTTGCCCGAACGTGAGAGGGAGGAGGTGGTTAAGAGGTCTATTAGGTGGTTAAGTGGTTAAGTCGTTTGTTAATCAGCCCCAGCCTCTGTGAACATAGAACGGTAGCAAGGAGTAAAAGAAGAACCTAAATTAGACAAGGAAGGGTGTAAATATGTGAATGAAAAAAATTGAAACTAAAAAATTAAGAATTTTCGCCGAGATAAATTTCATTTTTGCACGTAACAGAACGTGTGTGGAGCCAAAAAAAACTGTCATTTTTTAAGGCACTGTGTTTAAAAATTTTAAACAGAGTGTAGAAAAAAAATCAAACTTCATTACAATCAGTAACAATCTATTTAAATGGATTTTTTTGATTTGACTGAAAAAAATTATGATACAGTTGGCGAAAAGTTGAAAACAAAACACGATCAACTTTTATCTGTGGAACTCAACTGCGGGGTTGATAAGAAAGAGAGAGAGACGAAAGTGATGAGGTAGCATCTGTATAGAAGTTCAGAATTCGCTTGGAGTCCAGGGATGTGAAGACTGAAAAATCCCTCATGCGCGAAGAATCGAATGCGAAAAGTTCTGTTAACCAATCAGATTTAAAAAAAAAAGAAAAAAGCGGCAAGGTCAGTGAGTGGAGAATTACCGGGCGTTGATTGGTTGAGACTGTTCTTCCCGTAATGACAACAAAGTATTTGCAATTTGATTTTGTACAGATTATGCAGCACAGAACTAAAAAAAATCAATTTCATTCGATTCCAAATCGTTTTGAATTCGTTTTATCAAGTTGCTTTGGTTTCATTTTTTCTAGGCGTTTTAATATCATTAACATCGATTTAAAAAGATTATTAATGACGTTTCTGTATGCTCAATTTGTTCAGATTTTATTCAGATTTGCTAAGCAATCAATAGGTAGAGAACCAAAGGAAATAAAATTTTACGTATGCTTTTCGATTGATTTTTCTTCTAGATATTTTGCCTGAAATTAAACTTTGAGAATAACTGACAAGTAAAAATTCTGCAATGTAAATGAGATTTTTCAATTCGAAATTTTTAGTTACATGTTAGTTGCCAGAACGTTGATAATGAAATTAACTTTTGAAAACTATTTGCAGATTTTATATCTCATTACCCTTGGAACACTTAGTTTTGCACAATTAGAAAAAAAAAAATCCCCAAAACGCAATAGTTTGCGTTAAGAAACGTACCTAATCAATTCCTCTTCGTCGGTCTCCCGAATGTTGCATGTACAAGCTAGATCTGTCAGCGAGCCCCAAAATTGTTCAAATGACTCCCAATCTTTTTGTTTGCGGTTGAACAATTTGTACCTCTCGAAAGTTGTCTTAGGAGGTTATTTAAAGGCAACGTGTAGAAGATTACAGAACTCGGTAACTTATATTGATAAATTTTCACCCGAGGGTTTTTCTGGGCGCTTTTTCCCTCGCTGCCAATTGCTAAAAATAAGATAAAGCGTAGCTTCTTGTCGGCTTCTGATGGTCTCATATAGTTGAACGTTTTCTTTATTTCGTTGATCCGCTTTTCCTCGGCGGCTTTGCATAATTTCAATGCGTTTTCGTTCCTTGCTTCTCAGCTGACTCTTTTGGTGTCCAGCTCACTTCCTGTTGCTTGTTCTAAAATTGGCTTTTGAGTTTCCGGTACCTCCGGTCCGTCAAAACTATCGATATCCAGATTCTCTTTAGCAATTATCGCCAATTGAAAATGGTGGCTGCACTGGGTCCAGGAATGTGGTGGCTTCATGGTATGATTTGGCCAGGATGAAGGAATTCCACGCAAGTTCTATTCATTTGACTGCGCCATCATAAAATGTTCTCATAGACAACTTTGTTATGTACAGGGTTTGTACAATGACTTAAAAGAATAAAATTCATAAAATGAAGTGTGAACTCAAGCGTTTGTTCAAAAACTGAGACAAACTAACAAAGATCGACCGATGGTCAAGTCATGAAAGGTTCTGACTGTTATCTAATCAATACCGAAGGTCACACTACTATAACTACAAAAATAAATCAGAACAGAAGTAGCAATTAGTATGTCAGAACATCTGGCACACATCATAAAAGTGCGATTGCCAACCTGTTCGGAGTAATAGACAACATCTGCTACCCAATCCGTTAAATAAAATACAAGAGTCGTATCAAAAATGGCGAGTCTGCGAGACGAGAAGGGATATACCGTAAGATCGATTTAAAAATGACATGACAGAACATCGAAAAAACACAATTTTGAGAAAATTTTTAGGTACCATAATGGGTATACTTGGACGAGACAAAAATACGAACAATGAAAATGTTGCGCGATGAAACTCGGATCAAGGAACTTTTTTATATAACTTGTATAATATCAGAACTGACCAACTTGGAACACACGATCAGAAAGTTCACGACATGTGAAAAAAATACTATTCTAACCGGTTCAATTACTAAGACAAATGAGTTTTTGCAATGAGACGCCTTCAATTGAGACGTCCACAGGAAACTGACAGTGAGAGCTACCAATGATCGATGAAACCTTTCTGTTCAAATCCTTTAATTCAGTAACTGTATAGTAACTCCGTAATTCAAGACTCGAGTAGCTAGACAAGTTTAGGTAATGATTTATAGGTAGGCTCATGTTGACACTTACTGTGCCAGGTTGAAGCTACTTAAACTACCTTATATGAACTAAGAAGATTGGCATCGTGTTTGTGGCAACTCACATTTCCCAATGGAAGTAAGATCTAAATACATTGTAGTTCAGATTAATACGACTAATAAGTTTATTAATAAGTTTATTTCTAATATTTCTATTTTATACGATTAGTAAGTTTATTTCTAAGGGCCGGTTCTTGGCCGTCGCACATTTTGGGTTTTTGACTTGAGCCATCCCTCTCCGTGTAATATAAGTTATCAAGTTTTTTTTGTCAATCCTTGGATTTCCTATGTTTTCCTATGTGATCGAATCGATCATTACTCCTCCCATTTTGTCCACCGATTTGCGCTTTGATTGCCCCTGAGCTATCACTTTAGTTTCTGAACCTGATACTTGTCCCAATATGGTACTTATTGAGGCTGCAGATAGCAGCTTGTGGCATACAAAATGAAGCAGTGGAGTGGTATGGAACCATGTTGAGAAAGTTTAATGAAGCAAGCATCGAGCAGCGTAGTGTCACTCATGGGCTTTTATGCGCAGATTGACAAAACATGCAATACAGGAATTGTTACGTTATGTGTGGAAGACCTGTAATTTTCTGTATTATTATTGGCAATCAAGATACCGTTGATGTTGGTTGAAAGGGAATCAGCTCTGAAGAGATCAAGAAGAATGAATCTAAACTCTTTGAGGTTTGAATCAACACTAAATAACAAAAAAAAAACAACCATGAAGGTAATTATCCCGAAAAAA